CTGCCTCCAGGCGCTTTGGAAAATAGCTTGACTCCCTCTTCTTTATGGCAGCCCCTGAGATATTGGAACACTGCTATCATGTCCCCCCTTGTCCTTCTCTTCATTAAACTAGACATACCCAATTCCAGCAGCCGTTCCTTATATGCTTTAGCCTCCAGTCCCCTAATCATCTTTGTTGCTCTTCTCTGTACTCTTTCTAGAGTCTCAACATCTTTTTTACATCACGGTGACCAAAACTGGATGCAGTATTCCAAGTGCGGCCCTACCAAGGCATTGTAAAGTGGTATTAACACTTCACGTGATCTTGATTCTATCCCTCTGTTAATTCAGCCTAGCACTGAGTTGGCCTTTTTGGCAGCTGCAGCACACTGCTGGCTCATATTTAGGTGATTGTCCACTAGGATTCCGAGGTCCCTCTCACAGTTACTACTATTGAGCAAGGTGCCACCTATGCTGTACTTGTGCATTTGGTTTTTCTTGCCTAAATGTAGAACCTTGCTTTTTTCACCATTGAATTTCATTTTGTTAGATAGCGCCCAGTGTTCACGTCTGTCCAGATCCTTCTGTATCTTAAGACTGTCTTCTGGAGTGTTGGCTATTCCTGCCAGCTTGGTGTCGTCAGCAAATTTGATGAGTTCCCCATCTATCCCCTCGTCCAAATCGTTGATGAAGATGTTGAACAGCACTGGGGCCAGAACAGAGCCTTGGGGCACCCCACTACACACTTCCCTCCATGTAGATGCAGTTCCATTGAAGACCACTCGCTGAGTACGGCCGGTCAGCCAGCTACGGATCCATCTGGTGGTGATGCTGTCTACCCCACATTTTTCTATCTTGTCAAGTATTAGGTTGTGATGTACTTTATCAAATGCCTTACTGAAGTCCAAGTAAAGCTAAAGCTCAAAATGAACTAAGGCTTATGACTAAAGTCAAAAATAACAAAAAAAGCTTCTTTCAACATGTAAAAAACAAGAAAAAAGTTAAGGAAATGATTGGTCCGTTAGTGGGGGAAAGTGGCAAAAAGGTAACAAGCAACAGGGAGAAAGCAGAACTATTTAACTCGTTTTTCACCTCTGTCTTTACACAAAGAGAAAAAACAGTTCAACCTATCAAAAACAGTACCATAAAAAACAGATTACAAGCACAAATTAAGATAGGCAAGAAAATGGTAAGTGAGCATCTCTCCATCCTAGACGAATTCAAATCACGAGGACCAGATGGATTACACCCCAAGGTTCTCAAGGAATTGGCAGATGTGATCTCAGAACCACTGAACTATATTTTTCAAAGATCCTGGAGCACTGGGGAACTACCAGAGGACTGGAAAAGAGCTGGTTTAGTTCCCATCTTCAAAAAAGGAAAAAAAAATGGATCCAGGAAATTACAGACCTATCAGCCTGACCTCAATACCTGGGAAGATTCTGGAAAAGATAATCAAACAACAAATCAGCGAACACCTAGAGGCAAACAAAGTCATTATCAAAAGCCAACATGGGTTTGTCAAAAACAGATCATGCCAGACAAATCTTATTGCATTCTTTAACCAAATGACAAAATTAGTGGACCAGAGGAATGCTATGGATATAATTTACTTGGACTTCAGTATGGCATTTGATAAAGTAGATCACAACCTACTACTTGATAAGACAGAAAAAATGTGGGTTAGATAGCATCACCACCAGATGGATCCATAGCTGGCTGACTGGCCGTACTCAGCGTGTGGTCCTCAATGGAACCGCATCTACATGGAGGGAAGTGTGTAGTGGGGTGCCCCAAGGCTCTGTTCTGGGCCCAGTGCTCTTCAACATCTTCATCAACAATTTGTATGAGAGCATAGATGGGGAACTCATCAAATTTGAAGACGACACCAAGCTGGCAGGAATAGCCAACACTCCAGAAGACAGTCTTAAGATACAGAAGGATCTGGACAGACTTGAACACTGGGTGCTATCTAACAAAATGAAATTCAATGGTGGAAAAAGTGAGGTTCTACATTTAGGCAAGAAAAACCAAATCTACAGGTATAGTATAGGTGGTACCTTGCTCAATAGTAGTAACTGTGAGAGATAATCACTTAAATATGCAAAAAAGGTCAACACAGGCTGCATTATCAGAGGGATAGAATCAAGATCACATGAAGTATTAATACAACTTTACAATGCCTTGGTAAGGTTACACTTGGAATACTGCATCCAGTTTTGGTCACCATGATGTAATAAAAATATTGAGACTCTAGAAAGAGTACAGAGAAGAGCAAGAAAGATGATTAAGGGACTGGAGGCTAAAATATATAAGGAACGGTTGCTAGAATTGGGTATGTGTAGTTTAATGAAGAGAAGGATGAGGGGTGACATGATAGCAGTGTTCCAATATCTCAGGAGCTGCCATAAAGAAGAGGGAGTCAAGCTATTCTCCAAAGCACCTGAAAGTAGGACAAGAAGTAATGGATGTAAACTAAGGAGAAAAGCAACCTAGAATTAAGGAGAAATTTACTAACAGTTAGAACAATTAATCAGTGGAACAACCTGCCTCCAGAAGTGGTGAATGCTCTAACAGTGGAAGTTTTTAAGAAGAGACTGGACAGCGATTTGTCTGAAATGGTATAGGGTTTCGTGCCTGAGCAGGAGGGTGGATTAAATGACCTCCAAGTTCCCTGCTAATAATAATAATAATAATAATAATAATAATAATAATAATAATAATAATAATAATAATAATAATAATAATAATAATAATAATAATAATAATTATTATTATTATTATTATTATTATTATTATTATTATTATTATTATTATTATTACTCTGCATTTGGAAACTTTAAATTAATATACAATCTTATTCCTGTGTATCTTTTAAAATAACTACAGATCTTCGGAAAAAGATCAAGGACTAGGGACTTAGTGGTTAGATGACCACTTTCTCCTACAACAAAGAAAAGCTTTTAAATTAGTGCTTGCATTTTTTTCTATTAAGAAAGCAATGTAATTAAGTGAACTACTAACAAGTCAACTTCCAAACTGTAACATTTGTTGGGACAACAGTGTTATGAAACATCATTGCTAGTAGCATTAGTAGTGATCAGAGAAACAAGATTACGCAGGTGAACACATACATATTTGTGTATTAGAAATAAAATAAAGTACCTGCCATGGATTTAAATTATGAAATATTAATTGTTCTCTTCCCATTAAACATCTACATCTGGACCTGGACTTGAGTAAAACATGCAGAGAATGAGCCATAATATAGACTGCATTGTAAACATTGTAACTATGGCCACTCATATTCATTTCAAATAATATATTTGGCAAACTCTCTAGCTTTTCATCCCCAGTGCACAATAAGTTGTTATCTTTATTTATATGGGAAATGTGTAATGGGCAGTCAAATGCCTGTTCCCAAAAATTCTGAATGAAATTGTCTTCTTTTACCCAGAATGGCCTTACAGTCTGAAGAAATTCTTGGAATCCAGGTGGTTCTTTTGAGCGAACTGCAAATGAAAGAGCACCATGGAAACTCTGCATATCCCAAAGTCTCTGAATTGACAGTGATTCATAATTCCAATGAGATGTAACAATCCACACTTTGCCCAAAGTAGGCTGTGAATTCCAAGATGCTAGAAAGATGATCATTCTCAGATTTTGTATGGATGGAGGGACTCCATAGACCAAACACACTTTGATTTTATCATCTGTAAAGAGGTGGGCATATCTTAACTTCATTGAAATAAAGTGTATATATTCATCCAGATATGCTTTCTTTGGTGTTCTAAGTATGAAAGCATAACAAATGTTGTTTTGGGAAAGCAATGGTCCAATTTTCTGCAAAAACATGTCACCATAGTCATCATCCACAGCCAAGATCCCAATCCAATTCCATCCAAAATGTTGAAGTAATTGAATAATTCCAATGTACTGATAGGTTTCATTTGGGACCATCTGGTACAAAAATGGAAATAATTTTTTATCACCATGTACTGGGGTAAATGTTCCATAGGCAAGCTGAAAGGCAATACATAGGAAATAATCATTATATTCAAATTTTAAAATGGGTTCATCTTCATTATAACGAAGGCAGAAAGTTGGCACTCAAGGGTTGATGAAAATGATGCAGCCAGTTCATATACCTGCAATATTACATCACCTAAAAGGGTTGCTTATGTGTTTCTGAGCCCATTTTAACTGAATGTGAAAACAATTAAAAAATAGCACAAGATCAAAAGACAGGCATTTATGATCTGCAAAGGTCTTCTAGTTTGATCATGTAAAGGGAAGCAAGCAGCATATGGCAGAGTAGACAAAGTATTTTCTGTGGTGGCCCAACCACTTTGAAACTCAATACCAATCAAGTAGCAGGTAGAAGAGATTCTTTTCTGTAGTGGCACAGAAGGGCCTACCTGAGCAATCTTATAGTTGGCAAGAACATTGGCCATAATGGATGAGGTCTCTGTCAAACGTCCTCCAATGGTAGCAATAAATGTTTTCGTTAAATCACAGGTAAAGTTAGGAACAAACTTCTGTTGTGTAGAAAGTAAGTTCAGGATTGCCTTATAGGTTATCCTCTCAATAAAGTAGTTGTTCAGAATGTGGAGACCCAAAGTGATGTTCAGTAAGAGCTCAGGATTCCTGTTGATCTCTTTGATAGCAAACACCAAAGCAAGGATGTACTGATATGACTTAGGCGCAGAACTGCAAACAAACAAACAAACAAACAAACAAACCAAACCAAAACAAAACAAAACAAAACAAAAACAAACAAACAAAAAACCCTATCTACTTAATTAAATAACATAAAAAATGTCTACCAACCTTCTTCTGTTTTTATATACTAAAAGCTATAAAGTATTAGGCCATGAAGTTAAAAAATATAGAAGAAGCCTTACAATTCACTAAGAAGAAGCCACCTCAGGCTGTAGATACTGAAAACCAGCAAGAAGAGTTGGAGGAGACCCTGAACCAGTTCACCATCATTAAATACCCTAACTTCTTCAAAAGGGTTGCTATATTTTGTTCCAATGCTAGTGTACAAAAAAAAAGCTCAATGACTTTTCAGATGGATGTCAAAAGGAACTGGGAAAAAGAAAAACTTGTCCTTGTCTTGAGACAAGGAAATATTTTGGACCATTGAAAAAAAAAAGAAAGGTTTGTTTTTTTCACTACCTGAAATTTTCTTTTGAAATAAACAGGTCATGGCTTATTGGCAGAGAGTAAGGTTTGAATCTAGATTTTCAAAAGTTACTCTTTTTTCAAATATGCAGACTTATTGCATCTCCTTTCACTGAGTCAGACAATATTAAATATTTGACATTAATTTACTTCACTCATTGTTGTGAATACAAACAACTTCATACATTTTTGTGAATAAAAATCATAATTTTAATTTGTTCAGTTATCTATAATTGACAGATTGACAACTTATCCTAAACTATTGCAAATGGTTTATGGGCCACAAAGCCTGCATTCGGAAAATACCAAAGTCAAAATCAGAATACAGGATACAGAATAAAAGTATTAAAAGGGACCTTGAAGGTCTTCTAGTCTAACCTCTTGCTCAAGTAAGAAATCCTATAACATTCTGTACAAATAACTGTCCAAACCCTTTTTGAAAACCTCCAGTAATGGAGCATCCACAACATCTGGGGTCAAGCCATTCTACAGATTTTTTTTGTTCTTACCAACAGGTATTTTATCCTTATTTCTAGTTGGTTTCCCCTTGATAATTTTCTATCTATTATTTCGTCTACTTCCCTCAGGTGCTTTGAAGAATAGATTGACCCCATCTTCTGTGTTACAACCCCTCAAATATTGGAAGACTGTTTTCATATCATCCATAGTTCTTAGGCATACCCAGTTCCTGCAATCGTTCGTCATATGTTTTAACGCTCAGCCCTCTAATCATTTTTGCTGCTCTGTTCTGCACTCATTTCAGAAGAATTATATATTGATTTGGTGCAATGTGTGAGGACATAGGGACTTTTCTACTTCATACATTTCAAAGAGAGAGAAAACTAATTAACAGAAAATTCCTAATGACATTATAGTTATGAAAATTTTTAAAGGCATATCACTTTATAATCCTGTTGCTTAGCTCTCCCCCCCCCATCATTTCCTCCAACTGCCATGCGCTGAAGAGAAAAAGAAATATAATTCTTACATTACTTCATTGATCAACATCTGAGAGGGCTCTTCTGTGAAGAATAGGCTATTGTGAAAGAAGATAGCTTGGGAGAGAATTGCCCCAATGATAACATTTCCTGGCTGAGCAAAGTGATGGTCTATAAGAAGTGGGTCATCAACTATGTTGCAATTCATATCATATGATTTACATGTAATACAGAACAAGAACAGAAGCATCATTGTGGTCACCCCCATCCCATTGTTGAGAATTTCTATTCTGAGAAATAAGAAATTCTGTTCTTATACAGAAAAATATCCTATCTCTACACTATTAAAACTCCAAGACATCATTTTTCCTTATCCTTATATAGATGGCCTCTAAACTGGTTATAGGAATATTTGTGTCAAACATATTCCCTTTATTTTAAACATGAGTTTTCAGTTTGTTCTTTGTCTTTGACTTCAGTTGCTTTCAAACTACTTTGTGATCTTCATTTCTTTTTTGGGAAGAAAAGTAATTGGTATGATTTTCTTCTTTATCATTAAATTAAATTAATAAAATTCTAAATGTACAACTGTGTCCTTCAGGCAATAGAGCTCCCATTTTTTCATTTCTCTTCCATAATCTCTCCACCTTTGAAGATAAATTCTTTTATCTAAAAGAGATCGAACAAGAGGCCATCTATGTCAAAATTGAACAGCCCTCTCTCAACAGAAGGGGGAGAGATATGACATCATCTATCCCTAGTCTACAAACACAGTCCTTTCAACAGTTCCAAGAAGACTCCACATCCATTTGAACTACTCAGGTGACCCTGATGATACAGATAAATCTCCAGATTGCATCAATGACTCTCTAAAAGAATGCAAATGACCAGCTGCCTGCAAGGAGTATAGATCTTTTCATTCCCCACCATCCAGTCAGAGCTGAAGAAGCTTCTTGGATGAGAAGCAAAAAAATGTCTTCAAAGAAAAAAACAAGAAAGTCCAGTTGTGTCATGAAAAAGCATCTTTGGGGCAGTACAAGGGAACAGAATTTCTCATTATGTGAGGCTCACCCTTTCAACGTACACCCTCTCATTTATGAGAGTTAGAATGAAAAAAAATATGAAGGGGAGGGGGAGAAAAAACAGAAGTATAGAAACTATTTGACAATGGACCAGAGATAAAATAGCTTAGATTATCATATGAAAATCAAAATAAAAAAGCTTGAAAAAGTAGCTCTTTTACACAGTACAACAAATGATATTTTGAATATACAGTAGGTAAAAGCACTCTTATTATTAGGCTGCCTTTCTGAAAACTGAATTTAATATCATAAGTAATGCTAAAGAAGAAACCTATAATTTTAACAACAATTCGGAAAATAATCAAGTTGTCTCCAGCTTTCAGTATTATGCACATCTCTCTTGAGAAATGGGCTAGAGCTGCATATTTAATTTACTTTGGCTATAATTTACTTTGATCACTGATGACATGAAAAAGTGCCATCATCCTTTGTTACATCACATTTCCTGAGAAATATACAAGTCTGCTTTCAGATACAATAAAGAGATAACATACAATTAGTATTTGTCATTGTGATACCAGATATTTTACCTTTTTCCTAACATTAAAAACTGTTTTATTTTTCTATTTTCATATAGTTTGATTAATAATCATGTCTTTTTTCTTAATCTGTTACTGCACCATTGTCTTTAATTTGCTCATTAATATGTTAATTCCTTTTAAAGGATCTTCCAAAACTAACACCAAGTCTGCAAAGTCTCTGTCATTAACAGTGGGTTGTGTTTTCTGTGATGAAAGCCCATTTCAAATTGTCAGAGGCCTTCTGTACATCTAACAAAACCAAAACAGTCTGTTTTTCATTGTGTTGCTCCAGTATTGCAAAATATCTTACACAATTCTATCATTGCCCTTAAAGTGTCTTTTAGCCAGAAATCCTCATTGACCCCCATGAATAAATTCTGGCAAAATTGTATTCAGTACTGGACTCAGTTGTGAATAACTTGTAATTATAATTCAATAATGAGATCGACCTATATATATTCTTCTTAATGCCAAATGTATTCCTTCTTTATTGGGCCTGACAATAAATTTATTTTTTTAAAAAAAATCATGTGTCACTTAAGAAATAAATGATTTTTTTTCTCTTTTGAGGAAAATGTGTTCTGTTTATATTCTACATTAAACATTTGTTATCCATAATCAAACAAAAAATCAATGCCTGTAGCACCCAGTTCAGCATACTCCTTTTATTCTCCTCTACTGGAGTTGGGTTTTTTGTTTTTTTGTATTTTCTTTTGACATTTCTGATTGAATCTTCTCCAATGCCTCTTTGAATTTCTCTAAAAATTACCAGGCAAAGAAATGTGTATATGTCTCTGTGTGTGAATGAGAAGACTCTTTTCCCAATCACAGTTGGGTCTTACTTCCTTTGGCCTTTCCTAAATGCAGAAAGGATCTGTTCAACTGACAGACCCTGGAAAGCATGGGGGTTTGGCCAGAGCATAGGACCTTTTGTTAGGGAAAAGGGAGAGGCTGTGTGAAAATGGAATATAAAAGTTAATGAGAGAATTGGATTTGGGCACCCAGCTGATAAGGCCCTGTAAGCAAAGCCCAATCACAGGAGGTGCCCATACTACTGCAAAAAGCAGAGGTCCTCCCAGACCCCTCCTGGGTCTGAAAACTGACGATCGTTGTAGGAGGTGCCCGTACCTGCTGGGTTGGGGACAGCAGGTCATCTTAGACCCTTTTTGGTCTGAAAAACTGATGGTGGTGAAGTTTTCTGGTTAGGAGGAGTCTGTACTATATGAGGGAACCAGAGTCCTCCCAGATGTTTTTTTTTTGTCCGAAAACTGACAGTGGGGCATCAGGGTTAGTGCTGCTAAGAGCATCAGGGTTGTGCTGCTGGAAAGGAACCAACTAAGCCGATTGAACCCCACATCCTAAGGGGAACATGGGAAGCTGTAATTTGAGGGTCAGGTCTAGATCCCCCATTGGATTTGCTTGAGGAGCAGGAGGAGACACAAGTGCCCATCCTAGCTGGTATAAAAAAGAAATGAGCAAAGGAAATTTGTGAAGAATGGGCTTTGCTCAGGGCTTTGCTGGGAAACCAATTTGGCTAAATAAAGGTACTTAAAAGAAAAGAATATACAATATAGGAAGAGTGATTTTTTTTTCTCTCGCTCTCTTTCTTTCTACACAACCATGTGATATGTTAAGATTTGTGCCTTCCCTAAGTTGAGTTAACTGAAATTTATGGTGGGAATGACCAGGATATGAAAATATAACAGGTCTGCTTTCCTTTGCTGTTTTCTTTCTTTTGTCTTTGTGTGTGTGTCAGTGTCAAGCTCTTTCTGTGTCTTTGAGGTAAAGACAACTTGAACATGCCTTTAAAATAAACTTTTCCTTTAATATCCAATAGGAACATATACAACCTAGTAAAATTCAATATTTGTACATGGCAACTCTTTGAGGTTTGGATAATATATGGACATATTTATAAGATTCATCAAAATTTACAATCATGTAATCATCATCCATGTTAAACTGGATAGGACACATCTGTTCTTTGATCTAGAAACACACCTCTTTTTAAGGATTTCTTTTCTCCATATTGGATTTTGTGTATAAATGAAGTGAAATCAAGGTCATGGAGATTTTTCCAAATTCCTTCAAAGTAAATTAATATATAAAGAAATAAACTTCAAGAATAATCTAAAAAAGTTTCATTAAATATGAATTTAAAAAAAACCAGTTACGTTTGTTTTCTTCTTAAATGTTCCTTCATGTTCATCTCAGGTCTCACTAAAGTGATATAGAATTTGGGGGAAAATATACACCCCAGTAAACCAGCACTGGAGGATAAGATAGAAAAGATCTCCACAGCTACCATGTATTTCCCTTTGGTGCTCAGGTAGGTTGGAACAAATGACAGCCAGACGCTGCAAAAGACCAACATGCTGAAAGTTATGAACTTGGCCTCATTGAAACTGCTGGGTAGCTTCCTGGCTTGGAAAGCAATATTAAAGCTAACACTAGCCAGGAACCCCATGTAACCCAGGACACAGTAAAACATGATCACTGAGCCCTCATTGCATTCCATTATGATTTCTCCCTTCAGCGAGTACAGATCTATATCTGGATAAGGGGGAGAGGTACTCAGCCAAAAAGTGCAAATCCCCACCTGGATGAAAGAACCCAAAAGGACAATAGAATTGGCCAGTCCTTTCCCTATCCATTTTCTCAATCTGGAGCCTGGTTTGGTTGCCATAAATGCCAGCATCACAGTAATGGTTTTTGCCAACACAGACGAAAGGGCCACTGAGAAGATAATGCCAAAAGCTGTTTGTCAGAGAAGGCAGGTCATCTTTTCAGGTCTTCCTATGAAGAGGAAGGAGCAGAGGAAGCAGAGAAGAAGGGAAAGAAGGAGGATACAAGTGAGGCTCCAGTTATTGGCGACAATTGGAGTCTCTCTAATGCATCCAAAAGATTCCAACCACGAGAATTGTAATCAAAGAGAAAACAATAGCCATTGTAATAAAGAAGATTCCCAAAGATTCATTATAAGTGAAATAGGTGATCACTTGGGGAATACATTGATTTTGGATATTGTTGGGATACTGATTTTCTGGACATTTCATGCAGGCATTCATATCTGAAAAAAGAAGAAGATATCTTTCAAATATACCAAAGTTTTTATCAATATAGAATACAAACAGCACAGGTGATGTTGATACCAATTATCTATTTTTAAAAAAATAGAATAGGAATTGTCAATTTTAGTCAAAAATATACAGGCTGGTGTCTTCAGCTTCGTGCTTCTGGCATGCATATTTTCCAATGAGAAAAACTGAGAAAGGAAGATCATTTTATTACAGTTTATCAGAATATTCAGACAAAAGGGATTTCTCTCATTCGAAGAGGCAACCCTGATCTTTAGCTTACAACAGCTTTTATAGTTAGCATAACAAAGAAAAATCCAAGAGGAAAGTTGATTGGACAGGATTAAACTAACCTCCCCTTTGCATAGAAAATCAGTTACACGTGGTCAGGTATGTTATGTATTTGCATCCCATAATATCACACATCTTCATTAAAATGAGGTCTGATATCAGAAGGGGCATAAATTGTAAGAAAAATGGTTGTTTGGAGTTCACAAAAGTGATAAACCAGACCCCAATTTGTACTAACAAACTTTTTCTTATCTTCAGATAATCTTCAGGCTGTTTATCTCT